AAAGTAAGAAATTCTCTATGTTGCCCGGTGTAGATTCGTAGATTCTATAACGTTCCGGAATTTGCATATCTTCAAGAGTTGCTGGAGTTGCTGGTGCTTGGTTTATTTCATTTCGTTTTCTTCGCACCAGTTTTTTTAAAGCTCCTTGAGATGGAAGCGCTCCTTGGCAAGCCAAGCTGAGGTTTTGTGAGCATTCGCTGATTACCTGACATGTCGGTTCTTGTGTGTCTACAGCGCGTTTTTTAATTTTAGTAATTACTCGATCAGCCTCTGCTTTGGCTGCTGATGAATCATGTGTATGCACATTCAAAGTTTTTATAACAGCGCCGTTTCGAACATGAACTCGCGCTTTACACTGTCGTCTTCGGTCACATCGCCAAAACTCCGTTTCACCATCCGCTGATAATTTATCAAAAACGTAAATATACCCGTCACTATAAAACTTATCACGATTACGTTGAGATTGAATAGTCTCCATTTTCATACGAATACCTTAAATAGCCGTAGATGAACTGATTTGAAAATACTTTCGACATGATTTTATATTGCAAAGTAACTAATCATAAATATCTCATTAATTGACATTTCTATTGTAATTTACCTATTAATATGTATAGTCCAATTAGTGGAAATTTAACAAACAAGTAAATCTGCTTGCTTTTATATTAAAATCATCTAGTAATCAGAATGTAATTAGTGGAAATTAGCAAATAAATGCATTTGAATGACTTATATTGGAAATTACTTAGCATAAATGTCTCATTTGCGAGACTTTCTAAAATTAGTGGAAATGTAAGAAATAAATCTGCTTGCTTCTATATTGGAAATTCTAACTGCGTTTTGATTTTTGAGTTGACTAATATTTGACTAGTTGATTTATCAAGCGTTTATCCCTGCATTTAGGCAAAAGGTAGGTGGTGCGGGCGGTGGCCAGTTGTCCCGGCGGCCAGTTATCCCGGCGGCCAGTTATCCCGGCGGCCAGTTATCCCGGCGGCCAGTTGTCCCGGCGGCCAGTTGTCCCGGCGGCCAGTTGGCGGCGGCTAGTTGGCCGCGGCCAGTCGGCGGCGGCCAGTTGGGTCATCCCGTTATGGTTGATTTTGCTAACCCTTGGTCCACCTCGTATACATTTCTTGCTCCTCTTGGTGCAATAACTCTCTGATTTTTTGGGCACAATTGGAAGTTGGTCTCGTCGCCATTGAATATCCGTGTGGGATCATTAAGAATATCAAAATACCCCTCGTCCTTGAGGTACGTTTCTATGCTGTCAAACCACTTCCTGATATCGTTTTCTGACACAACTGAACTAGCGGCAGTTACGGCTTCAGACGTGCGCTGTGTTATTTCCGGATGCCTACGTAGGAAAGCCTTATACCTAATTACAATATAAAGTTATTCAAGAAGAATATACGCTTTATAATTTACTCTTACCATCCTTCGCCAGGACAGTTATTTTTAAATGGATTGCTGCGTGGCACTTTTTCTAAAAACTCTTTTACAGCTGCTTGAACATCTTCACGCCTTCGCGGGAACCCCTTCTTATAATTATGAAATATCCATCTAATTAATGTATTCTCCTCCTCTATGCTCAAAATGGGACAAGGCCCATGTGAAATTTTTGAAAATTTACTGCTAAGCCGAAAATTGATTGTAGGCCTTGGAACATTGAAAGTCGCAGCAGCCTTTTTTTTTGACATAGTACCTTTCGTTACAGCTTCTATAGCTTTGTTTAAGTCTTCTTCTGTGTAATTTTTATGGTATTTTGAGCCATCTCTTACTTTGGGCATTTTCAAAACAGAAGTGTGCTGTCTAAAAAGAGAAAAAGAAAGCACTACAATTATTAACACCCTATATTACACAGTTATTGTCACAGTGTCAACAACTATCATGGTCAAATTCTGTGCATGTACAAGTGTAATAATCGTTAACTATTTAAAAACACCTTGCAAAACAATGCTTTAAGGGTCATTTTAAATCTATGGTGCAAATCATAGTGATTGACACCCCTGGCAATAACTAAGAAATGTTATATACTGTCGTATAGTTATTGACACCCCTATAAAATAATTAGTATCGATTTGTTTAAGGTTATATCTGGTGAATTTGATTATTACTATGTGAATAGATAAAATAAATCCATGCTATTAGGTACCACAAAAGAAGTCAGGCGCAATATTTAAGACATTACATTCGGATGTCTACTAACGAAAATGGTTACCTACCTTACAGAAACACGAATCACAACTGACGCTGACCAACTTTTCCCGCGCATTTAGCTCTCTGCCAACTAAAAAGCTAGATAATTACTACACGATTGTAAAAGTATTGCCACCTTATTATATTATAACCCCAAATAAGAAATAATCTTTGGAAACTTGTTTTATTCATATAAATTGTGACGTGTCAATTACTGTGCGGGTGACAACAACTGTACCGGTTACCCTATACTTAAATTAACTGTATTCGAACAGAATAAGTAAGAAAATGCCAAATACGTGCTGCGTCCCTGGTTGCAAAAGCAATTATAGTTCAAGAGACAAGGTTACGGTTTTTCGTTTTCCGAAAAATGAAGACAATAAAAAAATGGTTAAGATGTAGGTATTCACTAGTATTCACAATTTCGAAATTACTATTTACCTACTCCAGGGTTTGTATAAAGCATTCTCCGACATTTTCATTATTCGGGTAGATAAGATGACTAGACAAGACGGTACAGTATTAACAGTTCCACGAGACCAGATTAAACTTGCCGAAGACGCGTATCCCATCATTTTTGAAAATGAGCCATCACATATGAAAAGGATGTAAATAATGAGTAACGGGAGAATATAGACCTTAGCAACTACAAATTACCGAAAACCCGTAGTCTCTAGGTGGTCCAGGGGCCGTGATCTCGATGGAACAGACAGATAGGCAGACGACGGAAAATCGAGCACATGAGCGTTACCTCAACTTCGTTGTGTAAGGCAAAAAATGGCAGATGTGTGTATAGAATGTTTAAATTTTATTTGTTTTCAGTGAGTATTTGTTGTTTATGTACGTATTTAATAAAAGAGTATTTGTTGTTTATGTACGTATTTAATAAAAGTTTTTGCATAATTACACGTGTCTATAATTAGGAAAAAACATATAACAATTCTGCGGCTCAAAACAAGTAATTACTAAATGTTTTGGCATTAAATGAGTACGCGCGCAAATCAAATTGCATTTAAACACATAGTATCACGTTGCAGTGGCCCATCTCCAGTTGTGACGTCACTAAAGCAATGTCACGGCTAGATCTATCGGTAGGCTACGAGCAGATCAAGGTTAGTTAGTTAAAAACTATTTTAATTGTATAATGTGTAAGATATTGTAGAGTTTCGGACAAAGTTATTGGCAGCACTAACCCATATAAAAGAACAAAATGACAAGATCATTGCATTGCTAGATACAAAACCTTCAACATGTATGTTTGCTCTGTCAGATAACTTCCCCGTCACGTTGCACAATTTTTACCGTTGTTTGTATACTTGTATTAATGGGTCTGGCCAATAGTCTCCAACGCCCTCTCAAAAGTCCAAATGCGCACTCCACAGTTCTCCTTGCAACGCTCAGACGATAATTAAAGATTTTTTCCTTAAATTTAAGCTACTTTTGTGTGGGAAAGGCCTCATCATTGTAGTCGTCAAGGCAAATGCTTCATCGCCCACAAACACATATGGGGTAATGTTACTACTATTTGATGGCAGAGGTTCCATATTTAGAGAATTGTCAAGGGCTCTTCCAATTTCACTACTTCGAAAAACTACACCGTCACTTTGTCTTCCGGGAGAACCTATGTCCACAAGTATAAAACATAGGTCTGCATCGACCACTCCAAATAAATTAATACTATGGCTACCCTTATAATTATAGTAAGTTGAACCACTCTGTTTTGGTGCCTGAAACATTAGGAATTAGTAACAAAAATTTAGTGTATTTGTTTTCATACTTCTATAATGACATGTTTGCCATCGATTGCACCAATAGAATGCGGAAAATGGCATACAGTATTAAACTTTTCGGCGATTGTTTTCCACGCATTGGTATCAGGAGCTTGTAAATACAGTGGCTTCAAGCACTTCCATATTGCAAAGCAAGTCTCCTCAATAAGGGATCTTTACAATTTTATAAGTACAACTATACAGCATTGTAAGTACACTTACAATTCATGAAAATCGTAAAAATACAACCAAAATATTGTAAAATCCAATACAATGTTTTCGCGCGTATACGTTTGTGCACTACCTGAATTGTATTGGACGATACCATTATTTTGAACGGAGTATTTTTATTTTCGTGCACTTATATTGTTTTTGTCGGGAAAACGTAGGAAATTGTGTTGTTACAATTTCAAAGTTAACCTCAAAGTTAATTTAGTGTTGGTATACCTAAGTGTTAATTACTGTGCTACGCTGATTATTTTATTGGCAAAATGTTGTCTCGTGGACAAAAGATTATATTACAGGCGTTAAAAGAAAAACGTAAGTAGATTTCTTAAACTACATTTTAATATACGTATTTAGTTGTTATTAGGCAGATATTTTTTGAATCTATGTAGATACAACATGTATATTTTGCGAAGATTTAGAACTGTTTTAGATGCTTATTTAACATACGTGAAACATTTCATTAATAAAAGGACATCAAAGCGCAAAGCTATTCTCTCATGTTTTCTCATAAGATCAAACGAGCTTACCTAAGTGAAGTTCGATCTTGATTATATACAGCCCTTCGCCCGAAATGATCAAACTGTAGTACTTCCTACTTGCTACACGCTTACCACACTTAAAAGCAAGGAAAAAAAGTCCCTATAATTGCTCCCCAACTGCAACCAGCTGGTAACAAAACGTCATTTCTTTTTAAAGCACAGACGAGTAGAACTCTGGTCGCAACCAAGAAATGATCAGGGTCTAATAAGAGGGAGGGCGGGAGTGATCATTTCGGGCGAAGGGCTGTATATAATCAAGATCGAACTTCACTTAGGTAAGCTCGTTTGATCTTAAGATTATATCACGCCCTTCGCCCTCTATGATCAAACTGTCGACGTTTAAAGCAGGTTGCGACACTACAATAGAGAGAAAAATATCGCTTTATTTTAAATCTATTAAAATAAGGACAGATTAATCATAGTAAAAACTAAAACAACATATTGTCTTAAGATGATAAATGAAACTACATTTTAAATATATAACTAATAAGACTAATCACTTTTCGAAAACACAGTTTCAGCAAAGATTCCTTTTGATTGCAGAGGTCGATTATAGAATAAGGCAAACATCTGCGAAGTCTCTGTCCAACCCGCAGTTCTTCTAATAATGTCTATACTTAAGCCCTTACGGTTGGCTGCAGAATGCAGATGTACTCGCATGCCGTGTAGAGTAAGCTGAATAATTTTTATCGACCCCGCATTCCAGTAAGGTGTCCTTTAACCACCTGCTTATAGTTTGAACGGAAACAGAATGAAACGGTTTTTTAAAAGAAATAAACAAACTTCCTGTAGTTGGAGATGCGCGATATTCTCTAGTCCTACTTAAATATGAGTCAAGACAACTTGCTACGCACAACTGAGGTTTATCTTTGAAATAAGGAACAAAAAGAACAGGTTGAGTGCGTTGCCGACCCGAAGTTTTAATTCGATCCGAGATTTTTATTTCAAAAGCGTTAGATTTTTTAATAATATTGTCAATCTTGATCAAAGAAAGGGTTTGAATGCGATGACCAGTTGACAAGGCCAAAAGCATTACTAACTTTTTTGTAAGCCTTTCAATAGTAATGTCGGAGTTTGTCATCTTTTCTAACACCCTTAAAACCTCCTGGGGATCCCAAGTGGTATCATATTTAGGTCTACCCGGTCTGAGATTATATACACCCTTGAAAAATCTCTGTACATTATCATTTGAGCCCACATTCGGTGAAATTAGAAGTGCCAAGGCCGATCGTATACTATTAAGCGAGCCATATGAAGCGCCGTTTTTAAATTCAGATGTTAAAAAACTTATAATTTTAGGAACGTCCAGATCACAAACATCTATACGCTGTTTGAAGCAAAAATCCCACCATTTACGAAGTCCTACATTATATTGGCGCAACGTAGAGCTCGTTATTGAAGACAGCATTATTTCTCTTGAAGGTGAAGGAATGCGTCTTCTTTTTAGTCCTTGCTCGATAAGAGCCCTGCCACCAGGGTAAGTTGGTGTGCCAACGGATGTTTGAACCTGTCGTAAAATAATAAATTAGGATCGGGTTCAAAATAAATTGGATCAGTAACTAAAAGTGTTAAAAACATGGGAAACCATGGTTGGGAAGGCCAATAAGGGACCACAACTATGCCCTTAGCCTTATCCTTAACAATCTTTTGCAAAACACGGGTGACTAGCGAAAACGGGGGAAAAGCATAGAAAAAATAATTTTTCCAACAAATAGTAAATGAATCAATAGCTAGAGCGTCAGGATCTCTCTTCCAAGAAACAAATAATGTACATTTAGTGTTTTCTCGACTCGCAAATAAATCGATATCAGGTTTACCAAAAATACTAGTAATTTTTGCAAAGGCTTCATCTGAAAGGGACCACTCAGTTTCCTTTTTTAATTGCCTAGACTCCAAATCAGCTTCAAAATTTTTGGAAGATGAAATATAAGATGCGAAAATCCAAATATTTCGTTTTTCGCACCATTGCCAAATATCCCTAGCAACGTCAGCCAGATGTGGGAACTGAGTACCCCCATAACGATTAATATAAGCAATAGCCGTGGTATTATCTATTTTTAATAATATCTCGCAGTCATGGAAATCCGAGGCAAAACATTTTAAGGCAAAAAATGCGGCTAATAACTCTAGTTGATTAATGTGGTACGTTAACTCGATTTTTTTCCAATGTCCATTGGCTCTTTGAGGACCGCAAACGGCTCCCCAACCAGATTTTGATGCATCCGAAGAAATTGTGATTGAAAAATTGTATCGACGAATAGGATTAAAAGATCCGATAACATTTTTCTGCCACCAGTCTAAATCTGCAACTATTGCCTGAGAAATTGACATATTTTGGTTAAAATTATCATTGCTATGATGTAAAGCCAACGCTTTTTCTCTCTCAAAACGCTTGGTATAAACCCAACCGTAAGCCACACCCGGGCAGGCCGCAGTTAAAATACCTAAAAATCGAGCAAATTCATGTATTTTGCAAGATTTACGAGCCTTGAGCTCAGTGGCTAAGTTTTTTATAGCCAATTGCTTATCTGATGTAAGAAAAATTCTCATTTTAACAGAGTCAAACAAAAACCCCAAAAACTTGCAAGTCTGGCTAGCTAGCAGACTGCTTTTTTTATAATTAATAATAAACCCCAGTCTCTCTAAAAGAGAGATGGTTTTATGCGTATTATATTCGCAAGCAGAAAAAGATTCGCCAATTAACAAAAAATCATCAAGATAGATAACTGAAACATGACCCTGCGAGCGCAAAAAAGAAGCGACAGGCTTTAAAAGTTTCGTAAATACAAATGGGGCAGTGCTCAAGCCAAAAGGTAAGCAATTAAATTCAAAAATAGTTTTATCGTAAATAAAACGTAAAAATTTCCTATATTCATGTGCAACAGGAATCAAAAAATATGCCTCTTTAAGGTCTATTAAAGTCATATAGCAGTTTTCTGTTAATAGTTTAAGAACAGTATCCTTATTTTCTAACTTAAAATGCTCGGGAGCTAAAAACTCGTTAAGCTTTTTTAGATTTAAAATAAATCGTCTTGAACCATCTGGCTTACTAACTAAAAAAAATGGTGAAACAAATTGATCCAAACTTGGATTATTTCGCGAAATCGCTCCAATTTGGAGCATGTGGTTAATTAAAGAAGAAATATCTTTCCTTTCCGAAACTGACCAACCAGGTTCAATCGGCGCAACCGCCTGCACAGGTGTACGCACAAAAGGGATTTCATATCCCCTAATCCAAGAGAGCACTAAAGGGTCCCTAGTAATTTCTTGCCAGTAAGGCAAGAAAAATTTTAGACGTCCAGCATGATGGCTTACATTTAATCTTGATGGTGACGAGAGTTGCTTGTATTTTCCTTTGTAAATTGTCCCTGACTTCTTTTGTTGGAACTGGGAGCGGTTTGAATGGTAACGATTCGACTGGTACCGATGTGGGAGCCCCTGTTGGCGCGCTCCGTCCTGACGGGCATCCTTGTACGTGTTTTTGGACGGGCGCTTCACATTTTTTGACACAGATTTTGCAGTTTTCACTGGTTTTAAATCAGCGCTAGACTTTTCTAATGACTTTGCCGAAGAAATACGAGTATTTAGCTCAGCTCCAAAAAGAAATTCATCAATCGGAGCCTCTTGGACTGTGTTTTTAACAGTATTATTAAAACCCATAGCTAAAAGAGCTCTTCTAGACTGCGACTGTGAATGATGTACATCTGCTAACAATCTGCCAGTGTCGCTCAGTATTTCAATTAAAGAATGATGCTGATCCAAATCAGGACGACTAGCATAATCAGAAACAGCTCTGCTTAAAGCCGAAATACAGCACCCAATTTGGTTTTGTAAAGCAGATAATCTCTCGTCTCTCTTCTGACAAGCCTCTGTCGCAGATATCCTGACTTCAGGATTAATTTTAGGCGCTTTAACTGCCGTAAAATTAGACGGTGTAAGATATTTTTCCATAAGAGCCGAACGAGTGTCAGTAACCAGGCCATTCTTCAAGACAGGAGCCCAACGATACACAATTTCCTGCTGAACAGGAGGTCCAAAAATAACGGATGTCTCTTCGCTGCCCAATAAATTTAATACATTTACTGGGATAAAGGGCTCTGGCTCAACAAACACAGTTTCTGTAAAAAAAAAACCATATTAACAAAAAATGGTTTTTTACAAATGCTCAAGAAAGTTGACAACATAAAAGGAATAAAATATATTCCATCCTCAACTGCAACAGCAGAAGAGGATTATGAGAGCATATAACATAAGGAAATTAACTAACTTCCTCTCTCAACTACAACAGCAGTTGAGGTTATAAACGCAATAATTCGTTCCAAGTACCGAAGGTTAACTAACCTGGTACTAAAGAACCTTCGACAGGAGCTTGTTGAAGCGCCTTCACCGGCGAACGATCTCGGCTAGTCGAACTTCCAGAGGACTCAAGCCTCCTACGGTGACGTCGCTTATGGCGGCGACGACGGCCACGCCGTTCTTGCGAATTAATTCTCTCTTCTAATCTGGATAATTTATCGATAACTAAATCAAACTTGGATCTCGAACTACTAGTGTGAGAATTACGACACGATTCCGCACTAGAGATACTCATGCTAAAACAAAAACCGATGAAAATAAATAAAATCTAAAGCGTAAAAAAAAAACAAACGTGGTAAGCGTAACCACAAATAAAAAGAATGACGTTTTGTTACCAGCTGGTTGCAGTTGGGGAGCAATTATAGGGACTTTTTTTCCTTGCTTTTAAGTGTGGTAAGCGTGTAGCAAGTAGGAAGTACTACAGTTTGATCATAGAGGGCGAAGGGCGTGATATAATATATCTTCTTCTTAAATAAAGAGAGGCGCATGTCGTTGTAAAAAGTCGCATTTATACACCTAAACGTAAAACTTAAATTATAAAATATAGTAGCGCTGTTGTTTATTCATTTAATATCTTTTTTAATATTTCTCTTAGAACTACCGAACGACGAAAACGTTAAAGAGGGTAATTCGCAAAAAGAAGCCTTCTCAAAGATGTCTTTTATAGTACCAGATGAAAAAGAAAATTTTTGTTGAGCCGTTACTTATCCGACTTGAATAAAGATAATAGCGCTGAGTCGATCGTAATGAACGGTAAGAAAAAGAACTATAGACAATTATTTCTTTTGTAAAATTCAATTAGTTTTACACCTAATCGTTTATAATATTTTAGAAATGTTAAGAGATCAATCTGAACCAGCGAAAGAAAATGATTTTACTACTGATAATGAGTTTCCAGTTAACAGTGAGCAGCTTGATAGACCGGGGCCATCAAAAGGTAAAATCCAAACTTTTTATTGGGTATCGTAACTAAGTTGCAAAAATGCTTGAATAAAAGAAATTATATACTTAATACATAAATTGTGTACATAAACACCTCACTCACCTGAAATTCGGCAAATATTCTTTGTCGTAATACATCTCAAACTTTTAATATTTATAATAAGATATATTTTTCCTTGTTTCATTCAATAGTTCGGTTCTAATGCTGTAATAAAGATGCAGATGAACGTCTGAATGCTACCTCTACTCAAAAGGTTGAGCAATTTGCATCAAAATTAATAGAGATCTTCCTCTGCAGACTCTATATTGCTTTTAGGTCAATTCCGACAAACTTGGTGATAGTATTTTGCTGAATTTTAGTAAAATGTGGAAATTCCTTAGTTGTTGTATCCGTTTCGACGTCGTTTTGTCAATGAAACTTTGATAAACCCATATTCTTTTTATATACCATTCACGTTAAATTTTACTTTCAGTCACATACACTATACCAAATGTTTTAATCACTTCTAACGTTCCTGTCAACAATAATTATGCTCAGCATCAGGATGAAGGTACTTTATCACATTAAATTCAGTTTCACTTCTTGACTCGCTTATATTTTTAGGAACCTCAATAGAAAATCTGTAGTATTTTCCACCGAATGATACGCTAGTTGATAGTCTTCCGTTGTGTAGTGCAAACAATATTCCCTCCAGAAACTTGTTTGAAGAGGAATTATGTGAAGATGACGAAGTAGACGACTATGAAGATTCTGGTTCCGAATTTCAATGTGGTACTACTGATGAAGACACTTCTGAATCTCGTAGTAAGTTATCCTTAAAGCGAAATAAGAAACGAAAGCCGCAAGAAAATATTGTTCATCAAACAGCCGACTGTGTGATCACTTGATCACTGAGGTTGAAAATACATACACAGTAAATAAAGGTCGGTCAAAAAATGAAATTAGATCTCCAAATGGATCGAAATCCTCAAGCGGGGCTGGACTGGCGTTTCTCGTTCCAAATACCAATCTCCATTATAAATGTAAAATTCCGGAATCATGTTCCATATTCACTGCTGAAACGTTGGCCATAGAGAGGGCGTTAAAATGGCTTATAGAAGTCAATATATCACAAAACGCGGTTATTCTGTCTGACTCTAAATCCGTTCTTACTGCTCTAAATAATCTAAATTTCTTTAAAATGGGTAATTCAGAGATCATGTGTCAACTAAAGCAACGCATATTTACATTAGAAACCTCAAAACGTAAAATTGTATTTGTTTGGGTTAAGGGGCATTCGGGAATTGCAGGAAATGAAAAGGCAGACGAACTTGCCAAAGAAGCTGCGTCGGGAACTAAATTATTCAAAATTTCGCCTTTTTACCACCTAGTGAATTTGGCAAGGAAGAACATGAGATTAAGCTGGGATCTTCATTGGCAAGATTTTACGACAAAGTCCAAGAACCATTATACCTTGATACACCCCAAGGTACCATGCAAGACACCACATATTTCAAATTTCAATGTCACCAGAAAATACGCGGTCTCAATCACTAGATTAAAACTTAACCACGGGAAATTCCCCGCTCACCTTAATAAAATTGGCCTAGCCGAGTCGTCCTACTGTTCATGCGATAACTTGTCAATAGGTGATTTAAACCACATCTTCTTCTCATGCAAAAATTTTATACACGCCATTATATTGTTATGTATCGAAAATTCCATATAGCAAGTAGCGACCTCTATTTCAGAATATGTACGTACGTAAGGCAACTAATAAATTGACACGCGTTACGTTAACACGTTTCTTTTCTTCATTAATTGTGATAAAGCTCCAATATTATTGATACTCAAAGCTACAAACATTAGGTTATGGGCCCAGTGATATAATTAAAGGTGTTTCAGTGCTGGAAAGAACAGTTGTGTAGATTCGTAGAAAAACGCAGGTGTTAATAAAAACAAAATGGCCGTCAATTACATGTCGAGTGTACCGAAGCTGCTAGGACGTGAAAATTATGACGACTGGGCTTTTGCCGTCGAAAATTTTTTCGTTCTCGAAGGACTTTCGAAGTGCATCTCGGGCACAGAAGAAAACACTGAAGTTGTGGCCAAAGCCAAGGCAAAGTTAGTGCTTACGTTAGACACATCTTTGTACATCCATATAAAAGATGCCAAAACCGCAAAAGAGGTGTGGGACAAACTAAAAAGCATGTACGATGATTCAGGATTCACGAGGAAGATAAGCTTACTTCGTACCTTAATCTCCTTGCGCTTAGAAAATTGTGAATCAATGGAGACATATATCAACCAGGTGATAGAGACTGCACAAAAACTACGTCGCAGTGGATTTGACATAAGCGAAGACTGGGTTGGGTCACTGATGCTCGCAGGATTACCAGACAGGTTCATGCCATTAATAATGGCCGTGGAACACTCGGGAATAACCATTACAACAGATTCCATAAAAACGAAACTTTTGGATATGCAGGTAGATGGAAGTAGCGGAAACGGCAGAGGTGCTTTTGTAGCGAATAGCAAACAGGCTGGAAACTTCAGATCGTACCGAAAGGCAACGAGAGGTGGCACCAGCAGTACAACTTCGTCGACAAAGTCATCAGCTGATGCAAGTTCAACGTTTGTAAACAAAAAGGATTTAAGTGGCATAGTTTGCTACAAATGCAAGAAGAATGGGCATTACATGTCAAAATGTCCAAACAATAAATCTGAAAGTGGTTTTAGTGCCGTATTCTCAACGGGACAGTTTAGCGTGACAGACTGGTATGTCGATAGTGGTGCCAGTGTTCATTTAACTGCAAAAGGAGAGTGGCTGAAATCTAAAGTGAGCCCTGATTTATCGGACATTGTTGTTGCAAATCGTTCAACACTTACCGTAGATTGTGCAGGTGAGGTTGAAATAAATACAGTGGCGGACAATGGTAAGCACCGTATTTTGTTAAAAAAGGTGCACTATGTGCCAGGCTTGACGACTAATTTACTGTCAGTTTGTCAGCTTATTAACAATGGAAATATCATGGAAGTATCATTTGATGACAATGGATGTAAAATTTATAATTCCAATGGCGTTTTAGTAGCAACTGCTAGTTTAATTAACAACGTCCCAGGCAGAAGCATGACGTCGTAATCACGACATTTATTCGTAATCCAAGACGTCTACTTAACCAATAATATGACGTCTTGACGGCGAGAAAATGACGTGAACATGTCACAGGCCATCGACGTCATTTTTTAACGTATTTTAAACGTCCAAAGTGACCTACTTTGGACGTCAATGTTAACGTGATATGGACCATTCTTGGATGTTTACGTGACGTGGTATAAACTTCTTTTGGACGTGTACTTCTGACGTTATTTAGACGTCTATATCGCGTATTTCTGACCACTTTTTATATTATTGCCGTCTGCACGTATACTTCATTAAAAATTAGGCATGAAAAAATTTATTTAAAAAAAATTCAATACAATGTATAATCAAAATGTATAAAATGTGTACAGTGTCACAGGAAATACGAATGAAGTAATGGAAATGATACCCAGTAATCGGCTGCAAATGATGGAATGACAATGCACTTTGCTTGTATGTCAATATGAGAAATTATTTTCATATTGGTCGACAAATTTTTCATTTTGTATATATACAACTGTTTTGAATTAATGGGATAGTGATACAGTGAATCATATTTTTCAAATTCACTAACAATAAAAAAAGTATTCTTTCGATTGATGCATGCTAAAATATTTTCTATTTGTACAACTGTTTTCTGCTTTGTTAAGCAATAACAATCAGCGATGGAGTGTGATTTAACAGAAATTGTTATATCTTTCCAATGTATTTTTTTATATTGTCTGTAATTATCGTTAATAACAGATGTAGGGGGGAGAGGACCGTTAAAATGTTCAAATTTATATACAATATCAGGGTTAACAATAGGTTTAGAAATATTATTGAATGACATTTCATGTAAACGCCTACAAAGTTGAGCTAGTGGTCTGTTCGGGGTTCTTACTAACTGTTTAAGTTGACCTAGATAATTCTCAAATGGGAATGCGGAGTAATTATCTAAACAACCATAAGACTGAATATCGTCGGACACATGTGAAAGATAATGTACATTATAGACATAATATTCTATGCCATATATCTGCTCAACATGTTTTACAAACATGTTCAAAAGTTCTGAAACAACGGTGGAATTATGTATTGCAAGGAGATATGGAGACACGGCTATAGATATAGCAACATGGAGCAAAAGAAAATGTTCATATGCACCTAAGTCAATAGTATTTGCCAATATTAGTGGTCCATAATAAAGCAAGAATGATCGAAATTCAGTTCCTTTCCATCTTGATAGGTCCGATAAACTCCTAGGTTTCCTGTTTATTTCTGTTGGAATATGCAGTTTTATGAGAATTAGCTTTTGAGATAAAGTAGTAACTAATTGAGAATTTAAGCGAACCTTTAAATTGCCACTTATCCATGTGTGTAATAACTTTCTCATTACACCTAAGCAGATATTGTGTAAATAGTCTATCGGAAATTGTGACACCATACCAACAGAAAGTTTTAGTAGTGGAGACATCCCTAAATGATGATCTTCATCACTTTGTAAAACAAACGATTTGTCTGTTCTGCGTGTTGCATTTATTCCTTTGTAAACAACTTTTCCATTCACATAATCTCCACTTTCCATACATCGTTCACAACATGAGTAGCCACCGTGAGATTTTATGCACTTTATAAATGCTCGCGCAGGAGCATCACAAATAAAACTGTGAATTTTGATTTTATAAGTCACATCAAATAAATTTAATCCATTTGTAATTAACAATGAAAGCTCCTCAATAAAGTTCTTCAAATATGTGTCTAGCGGTTTAGGTTTAGAATCGCCGAGAAAAATTCCTATAGGGAATGGTGAAATTATGCTACTACTACTTTTAGTTAAACATAAAATGGGCCAAATTTGTGTATTTGTGCTTCGATACAGTGGGAGTCCGTCTATATTAAATGATAGTAAAATAGTATTGTTGTCAAATCTAGCACCATCTAGTATTAAATTATGTAATGTTTTTGTCAATCCAAAATGATAATATTCACCAGTATCTAATGGCAGAGTATTAAGAGTTACAGGCGTTTTTAACAAGGTTTTACTACATAATGGCAATTGAGGATGTAATGGATGTAAAATGCCTAAAAGAGATGTAACACTTGAATGAGGCACTTTGCCAACTGTGGCCCATGACCGCAGCTTAATTGCCAAGTTGTCATCGTTTTCGTTAGGATTGGTACATAAAGTTTCAGGTGGCGTACTTTCCATGTGCTCGTCAATATTTTCAGAAATTAACTCAATTTCAATAGGTGGACAAATTTGTATATCACAATTTTGAGAAGACTGAGAACAGATACTGGAAGAATCATTTTCATCACTTCTATCATGCAAAAGATTTAGCGGACTATGTTCTATGATATTTGTGTTTGCCAAGTTATTACGATTAACAGGACAAATAGTTTCTTTATTTTCATTTAGCCTCTGTAAGGCTTTCTGGACTCTTCTATATATTTGTCGTGTGCCTACAATTTCTTTAGTTTTATAGGAACTTCTCTGCGACATGGTACACATTAATAACAAAAGTAAAATATATAAAAAAAAAGAACTATGATTAAAGTAATTGCACTTATCTAAATTCCTTGGTTACAGTTCTTCTTAGGTTGTAGGGAATTGGAAAGTCGTTGCGGGGCATGTTTTAGCCAAACCTTTATATGGGCAGAAATTTCTTCAGCTGTTGTGTTGGAAGTCGTTAATTGAACAGCCCCTTTAACAGTACATATTAATGATTTAAAATCACTTTCAATATTAACTTACGAATAATAACGGTTTTTACACGCAAATCGTTGAATGCCTTTTTATTTCCCCTTGACCCATAGAAACTATACAGCTGGGCAAGCTCATTGTTGAAAATATTTTTTAAAATAATGTTCGTTTTAGATCCAATGTCACGTCCGCCTAATGACGAGAAATATGCTGCCTAGAAAAAAATCACTAGGTAGTGGCATTTTCTTTTATTGAAGCGACTGGCTTACCAATTCTGCTAAATGTCCATCATCCATCAAATATGATTCTAATACGGTTAATGAATCAATTGAGCATAAAGGAAATTTTACAGGAATATCATCGGGTAAAGTGCCATGAACAACGGTTGTATTACTTTGTTTTTTTATCCATGACAGAATTTGGTTATTCTGTTCCTTGATATGTAATAGTAAGGGTACGACTACCTTAGAATCTGAAATAATATACGAAATATGTACCTGCAACTAATATTATGAATAAAAAAAACTTACCTAAATTTTCACGTTCTTCGCCACGTACCGCAAGTGGGGATCTTGTTGGAAGTCTTTGTCTGTTGATGGCATCAGCACATGATGATGGACTAGAGGGGATGGCATCAGCACATGATGATGGACTAGAGGGTATTGTTCGGAAACAATTTTTCTTATTGACATGGGTGGATGGACTACTCCGAGGTTCTGGTTGTGAGTAACTTTGTCTTGAACTTTGTTGATTAACTATAAGCAACAGTAGCTCAAAATCACAAAAAAACAGTAACTAATTGCTCACCTTTATCCAGCGAAAATCTTGGAGGCCGAGGTAATGTTGCAACGCTCTCCTCTTCGCTATCGTAAGACAGTCGTGGAGGCGGAACTCTTTTACGTTTTTCACTGAATTCAGTGTCCGACTGCACATCGGAGGTAACTTCGGCAGTTTTCAATTTCTGTCGTGCTTTAAGAAGATTGTCTAAAATAAAGAGTAAAATAAATACATTTGTTTAAACGAGGTGAGTCATGTGTACAATTCCAATACACAGGTAGTAACACTTTGCTTTTTCACTTTAGTTGTGGTTTGGATTAACAAAAAATTCTACCTGTTTCAAAAAAGATCCTCTTAACCGGGTATAACATCCAGGTATCGCCAGGTTCCTCTCCACTGCGTAGTGCACTTTCAAATTTTGTGGGTTGACTATAGGACGGCCAATGAACTCTCCGTTTCATTGGCGTGAGCCAAACTTTATTTACAATCGCGATCTCCCCCGCATCATTTTCGCCATCGCTTTCAAATTCGATACCAACGTACGCCATTTATTCTAACAGAAACATGCACATGAACAATAATAACCTCAAAGTTGAGTAAGTTCAAAATTTGCCTTACCTGTTAATAATACCTTCGAAGCTCAGTCAGTCAGTCAAATTCAGAGACTCTCTAATGTCTCTGGTCAAATTGCACGTCTTTGTTTATACGATTTCAATTATAATAGTCAAAAGCAAAAAAATAACCGCCACTTTTAGACGTATTCGACATTCGAGAGATCACAGGTTCAACTTCAGAACGCACCTGCGCACTAAGCACAAAGGATGTGGTAGTTGTCTGTCATAGGTGTATCATGTTTATGGTAGTAATTGCTTTAGCATTAAATACAATTAGCATTGTATGGTAGTATGTATGTAGTAATATGTTTGAGTTTTGAGGTACCACGAAATTCTATTGATATGAAAAATAATTGCAATTTTCAACGTCGTTCTGACGAACGCATGACGTTTTTCTGTGACGCCATAAGATACACGAAAATGGTACCTTTACACGACGTCGTACACAGGTCATAAGACGTCGATGACCGTAAATCACCTTTATATGGCGTCATAATGACGACATGCTTCTGCCTGGGGTGTATAAGTTAAATACACAAGATAGTTGTGCGGGTTTCTTAGCGAGCAGCGAAATATGGCACAGGCGCTTCGGTCATCCTAACAACAGTTATCTGAATAAAACTAGTGAGTTGGTTGAAGGACTTGTTTTTAAGGGACAAGCAAACATAACGAATTGCCAGGTGTGTTGTCAAGGAAAGCAAGCTCGTGTTCCATTCCCCAATAAAGGTAGCCGTGCAGAAGGAGTTTTACAAATCATTCATAGTGATATCTGTGGCCCGATGGAGACAACATCATTAGGAGGTGCCAGGTATTTTTTTAACTTTTATTGATGACTATAGTCGTATGTGTTTCATATATTTTATTAAAACGAAGGATGAAACATTTTCAAAGTTTAAAGAGTTTAAAAATTGTGCTGAAAATCAACAGAACACAAGTATAAAGGTGTTGCGAACAGATAATGGCGGCGAATATTGCAGCAAGGAGTTCCAAATGTACTTAAAGAACATGGGCATCGTTCATCAGAGAACAAACAGCCACACGCCTCAACAAAATGGGATGGCTGAGCGATTCAATCGAACACTCGTAGAAAAAGCAAAGTGTTTGATGTTCGATGAGAATGTCAGTAAGTTCTTGTGGGCCGAGGCATGTAATACTGCTTGTTATCTAAAAAACCGTTGTGTATCTGCAGGGATTTCCAAGACACCATTTGAGCTATGGACCAGCAAGAGGCCAAACGTATCTACGTGTTTATGGTAGCGTAGTAATGGTCCACGTCCCAAAAGCCTTGAGGAGCAAATGGGAGCCGAAAGCAACTAAACATATACTTGTAGGCTACGATGATAATACCAAAGGATATCGGTGTTACAACCCAGTTACAAGAAAGCTGATAACAAGTCGAGATGTGACAATTATGGAGAACATGAGGGAGAACGTTTTACCAATTGCCAACTCAAAAGAGGTCACCGATGCAGTGGGGGTAGAAAGCGAGAAATCTACATCGCTCGATGTTTCTGTGCCAGATGTCTCAGAACCAGAACGTAGTATCGACGATTATGACAGTGACTATGTGCCCGATGCAGCCATCGAACAGGAGCAATCGTATTCTTCAGAGCTTCCCAGAAGGTCGGGAAGGCCAGCAAAGAAGAAGCAATTCGAGGACTTCGTAACATATCTTGGTGCAGGTGGTGCGAGAATGGAATCAGATAACTTGGATCCTCCGAGAACTGTGTCTGAAGCGCTTTCCAGGGTAGACGGTCACCGATGGAAGCAGGCAATGACAGATGAATTGAATTCATTTTATGAAAATGAAACTTGGGAACTCGTCGATCCTCCAAATGGTGCAACAATTGTAGGTTGTAAATGGGTGTTTAAGGTGAAAAGTGACAGTGTAAGTAGCTTAGAATATAGAGCGAGGTTAGTTGCTAAGGGTTACACTCAGAAAGAGGGTGTAGATTATACTGAAACTTTTTCTCCAGTGGTGAGACATTCTACTTTAAGACTTTTAATCGCATTAGCAGTACAATTAAATTTAAAAATTAGGCATTTAGATGTTAAGACTGCATTTCTTAATGGTTTGCTCAAAGAGAATGTATTTATGATGCAACCAGAGGGCTTTGTTAGCGATGATAAAAATAAGGTTTTCAAATTGAAAAAGGCAGTATACGGTTTGAAACAATCGAGCCGAGCTTGGAATGAAAAGGTAGATCAAGTTCTCATTGATATAGCGTATAGAAAATCAGACTACGAACCTTGTTTATATACCAAGAAAAGAGAAAATGGCATGTTAACTGTAGTTGCTTTATATGTCGATGATTTTTTTGTTTTTACTAATGATTCGGAGGAATATAACTTTCTTGATAACCAGCTAAGTTCACATTTTAAAATTAAGAATCTTGGTGAAGCGAGACAGTGCTTGGGGATACGAATTGTTAGGGACGAAAACTGTATAACTATTGATCAGGAATCTTATATTGTTGCCATTCTGAAACGTTTTAACATGTTAGATTGTAAGAGTGTTTGTACTCCATTAGAAAATGGCATTAAGTTAAGTAAGGTCAAGGATCATACCTGTGACGTCAGTTTGCCATATAAGGAATTAATTGGTAGTCTTATGTATGTGGCGGTAATGACTCGTCCAGACATTGCTTTCGCAGTTAGCTTACTTAGTCAGTATAATAATTGTTATACTAAAATTCATTGGCAAAATGCAAAGAGGGTATTGAGATATTTGAATGGAACCAAGCATTATTCAATGAAATTCACAAAAGACGAGTCAAATTTAGTGGGCTTTGCAGATGCAGATTGGGGCTCTGATGAGAAGGATCGAAAGTCACATACTGGTTATGTCTTTAAACTTTCAGGTGGTTCTATTGCATGGAAGAGTTGCAAACAAAAAAACGTTGCATTGTCCACAACGGAAGCCGAGTATGTGGCTCTTAGTGAGGCAACTAAAGAAGCCATATATTTACGAAATATTGTTTTTGATCTCACTGGTAAATTATATTGTGTCACTATGTATAATGATAATCAGAGTGCTCAGAAATTAGCTAATAACCCAATTTCGCATGAGAGATCAAAGCATATAGACATACGATACCATTTCTTGCGGAACGTTCTTGCCGAGAAGAAAATTGATATTCAATATTTGTCGACAAAAGAAATGGTGGCAGATATTTTAACTAAACCTTTAGGTAATATTAATAATGCTAAGTTTGTTACAGGTTTAGGTTTGCATAATGAGTGAAAATTGAATTTACGATAAGTGGGGGTGTTGTTATGTATCGAAAATTCCATATAGCAAGTAGCGACCTCTATTTCAGAATATGTACGTACGTAAGGCAACTAATAAATTGACACGCGTTACGTTAACACGTTTCTTTTCTTCATCCTTTAATTGTGATAAAGCTCCAATATTATTGATACTCAAAGCTACAAACATTACATTAAACAACTGCAAGAAATTTTGATAGCAAATTCAATTCCTCTACCGGTAAACATAACGACATTACTTGAGACTCAAAACAAAAACATATTTGATGTTCTGGTCAATTTCATGAATAGCATTCAAATGGACATTTAAAATTAGTTCGCGTTAATTATAAAACCAGGGAACATAACAAAAGTCTGTGGCAAATGGATAACATCCAATGCCAACCCTTACTACACACACACACACCCTCACACACACATTCTGACCGTCAAGCAGAAGCTAATATTAATTTAATTGGAAATAAAACTGAAAATATCGCTGGAAGAAAAAGAAAAAGAAACCCCAAATTGTGGACCAAAAATGTTTTGAACAAAAAAGGTACGTTCTGGTGCACTGCTCTAAAAATGGTAAAACAATTTTACAAAAATCATTAAAGCAAAGGTTGCGGAGATAGCTGTAAAAAAACATTGCAACACAAAGATAAATTTAGAGCAGAGGAATAATATATTTTCAAAATTTTGGAAGATGGCTGATTATAATAGACAATCAACTTTCGTTGGTAGCTGCGTTAACCTTCATAATACCGAGCGGGGTACAAATGTACCCCACGCGCACCTTATGAGCTATAAGTCTGCAAATAATTTTTTCTGCTATTTCTCCGGCCTCCTATCTATTATCTATGATAATATATATGTACCTAAAAAAGTGCGCGTAGTTTCCTTCTATGAGTCCGTAATTATAATGAATTTTTGTTGCTGGGGTACAAATATACCCCGCTTGGTACTTAAAGCATGTGTTTTATTGCGCCGGCGTGAAATACCGCCCTAAGTACGTCGAATTACTGAAACGATGTGCAGTCAGTTCACTGCGTGTTTGTGCGTCTATTGTAAGAGAAATAACCGTTTTATTTTATAATAGTGTCAGATTTATAATAGTGTGAGATTTGATATTCCTGAAAATGAGTGAAAAACCTAAATTTCGTAATGAAAACAAACTTACCGATGACGAGTTGCTTCGAATATTAGAGACAGAGGAATTTGATTACTACTTTGAAAACGATTTAGCCTTGGAAGGTGCTGCAAGTGATATAGAAGAGACTGATGTTGTGGATGAAAATGATGAAGTCGATGACCTCTTGCTCATTGGTGATAATGAAGTGGATCTGGTAAGCGAATCTGTTTCTGAGGGCGGCGAGAATTTACGTTATATAGCGAAGGACGGTTCCGAATGGGCTAAAATACCGTACGTTACGAGAGTAAAAAGGGCAAAACATAACATACAAAAATTGCCATCGGGTCTAACACAATACAGTTCGAAATTTACATCTATAAAGGAGGCGTTTGATCTATTCTTCTCTGAAGATGTAATAAATATAATCTTGAGAGAAACTAACAGAAAAGCCGAATTTGTGTATTCCAAAAAAAACAAAGCGTTTGTTCCAATAGTAAAAGAAGAGATGGACGCTTTTCTTGGTCTTCTTATAAATTTTGGAGCTGTTCATGGTAACAAGGAACCAGTTTATGTTTTATGGAGTCAAGACCCAGTTTTGTGTCGTCCAATAGTATCAGCTTCGTTGTCTCGCAACAGATTTCAGCAAAGAATGAGTTTTTTGAGATTTGATAATTTTGAAACTCGCGAAGAACGAAAAACTGTTGACAAATTGGCACCAATACGGGATATATTCGATATATTTGTATCGAATTGTAAAAAATCTTTCAATCCGAACGGTCATTTATGTGTTGACGAACAGCTAGTTCCATTCCGAGGAAAGGCTCCATTCAGGGTTTACATGAAGAGTAAACCCGACAAATATGGGATCAAAATTTGGGCTCTTGCGGACTGTGAAACTGCCTACACAGTAAATATGCAGGTTTACCTAGGTAACACTTTTCTTATAAAAATCTGTTGGTGTTTTTACATTTTGTTTTTTTTTAGGAAAAATTGGTAACAAACCAGAAAAGGGTCAAGGTCAGAGGGTGGTCTTGGATATGGTAAGCCATTTAGGACAGGGATATGGAATTACTACTGACAATTTCTTTACCAGTATTGAACTGGCAGATAAATTGTTACAGAGGAACCTAACACTATGTGGAACTTTACGGCGAAATAAGCCATATATACCTAGCGAGTTACTTCCCGCCAGGTACAAAAAAGATTTTTCAAGTATGTTTGCCTTCATGAAAGACAAAACACTGGTCTCGTACGTTCCAAAGAGAAACTCCGCTGTCGTTCTTTTGTCAACTGAACATCGAGACGACAAAATAAGTGGTGCTGATAATGATTATAAGCCTGATATAATACTACATTATAATAAAACCAAAGGAGCTGTAGACACGACTGACAAACTTGCT